CACACGCATTTAATTGCGGGGGCCGCGGGGGGGCCGCGGGTGGGAGCCCCCCGGGTGGGTAGCGGGTAGCCCGCTTCTTCACCCGCCCAAATGGAAACCCTATTCGAAGTTCGAAAAACCTAATTTTGAACACCATTTCCCCTTAAAGTGAACTGAAGAGGAAATGTGCCCCAATAATCATCAAAAATACTTGCATCGGTCCTCAAATGGGCTTCCAATTTGTGATCATAGGAGAAAAGTAGATATCATGAGTCGCAACTCCTCTAAAAATTCTGTCTAAAATCACTAGAGAACGTGTGTCGTGAGTTGCCTAACAAGTTGAGTACACTATTTTCAAAACTCACAATCAGAAAAAGTATTTTCAACCATTGGAATACTATCTATTGTTCAAGATAAGTAGTTAGCATAAAAAATGTGATTTTGAGTTGCCAATTTTTGTAGCTGCTTTGTTAGGACACGCATGACACACCTTTTCTGTAGTTTTGAGCCTGATCGGAGCATTTTCAGGTGAATTACGTATCGATTTTACTAAAAAAAGACGCAAACTATTGTTGCCGAAAATTGCCGAAATTTGCCGAATTTGCCGAAATTTTTTTTCGGCAATTGTCGAGTTGCCGAACGTTGCCGAAAAGCATTCGGCAAATTGCCGAAAAATTTTTGTTGCCGCACAGGCCTGCAGTACTTGTATCATTGATAACTCAAGGGAACTTTAGAACGCTAGATTTATTACAGTTTTAAAATTGGCACATTTTAAGAGGAATTTCATTTTTGTTGATTTTCTCAAACATCTTTTTCCAGAATATCCATGTTGACAAACGTGACGAATCCGTTTCTGTACGCTTGGCTTAACCCAATGTTCAAGGAAATGCTCATAAAAACGATTCGCGGTGGAAACAAGTCCCCAAAACGGGCCGACATTAAACAGACTTCTTTTATTCGGGTTCGTTTTTTTTCTTCGTTAATTCTCGCGTTTCACATAAATTCTCGATTCGAAAAAATACTGTATAATTACAGTACACCTCTCTATTAAAAATAACAACCTCTAATTTAGAGTTTTTTTGTTCCAGATGCCGAACAGTGGTGCGCCAAGCCAGTCTTCATTCCTGTGATCATCCAACAAACCCCCCCCCCCCCCCCAAAATCTCATGCATATCATTTCTAAAATAATTACTTTTGCTTTTTTTAAGGATCTCAATTGATATAGATTTTTATAGATTTCTAACAAAACGTTTTTTCTGGTTTGTCAACGGTTTCCTTCTGACTCAAATTTCTCTTTTTTTCCTGTGTAATTATGATAAAAATTTGTCTTTTTGCATTCTTGAAGACTTAAATTTAGCGAGACTAACAAAATGAAAATTAAATGAGGCAAAAGTAGAAGTTTTGAAACAGGAAAAATTTAACGAAACCTTGAAGAATTTTCAAAAAATAAATGAATTCGATTTATTTTCATTTCAATATTAACTCCAACCAAAATTTTATTATTATTTTTAATAAATCAAAATGTGAAGAAAAGTATGTAGATTCACATAGCAACTAAGAAAAACATCGAAAAAAATTGAAAAATCTAGAAAAATCGCTTCAAAAACGAGCGAATTTCAGTTCTCGTCTATTTCTGGAAACTCGTGGAAGGTTCTCGAATTTTTTTTGATTTACCGCCAAAACTGAAAATTCTCCGTTTTTCATTTCCGACACTTTTCTATATGTGGCCCAGGATTTTTGGTTTGGCGGGAATTCAAAAAGAGTCCCAGAGCCTTCCAGAAGTTTCGAGAAATAGACGAGATGGTTTTTACGCTTTTGAAGTCATTCATTTCTTTTTTATCGCTATAGGAATCTACATCTTTCCTACACATTTTTAAATTTAAAAAAATTCTGTTGGTCCTCAGTTAATCATGTAGGAATTGAACTTCGAAATTTCGCTTTTTTTTTCAAAAAACTCAGCTGAAATTTTTAAAAAACTCAGCTGAAACAGTGAAAGTTTGTTTAAAAATCATTGTGAGAAATTTTGTAGAAGATTATAAAAAATCAGCTCACAATGAAAAATGTCTGAAAGGAAAAATTAGAATTTGAGTAGACTTTTTTAAAATTATGTTTTCCAGAAGTTTCTGAAAATCAACGATTTGCACTTGGTTTCAAACCAACGGGTCAAAAAACGCGCCCCAAATAACTTTTAGGCCAGAAGAAATTTAAAAATTTCCCAGTTGAGGTGGATTTGACCTAATTAATTTTAATCAACGACATGCAACGCGTCATTTTTTCGCCCAACGTTTAAAAGTTTGTTCTTCAGCCACATAATTTAGCAGCGAATTTTTTCTAAAATCTCACGTTTATCGGGGCGCGATTTCTGACCAGTTGGCTTGAACCCAAGTGGATTTGAAGATTGTTTTTTCACTTTTTGCAACGTTTATCAAATTCTTTCACTGCTGTATTATTTCGAGTAGAAATAAAACATACTTTTGAAAAAGAAGATTTTTTAACATTCTGGAAAAAAAACAAGATACCAAATTTTACATTTTCAGTCAATCCATATACATACCGATTTTTCCAACTTCTTTAATAATTTCGAGTCCCTCTTACTATTAACAAAAAAAACCAAAATCCAAACCACAAAGCTCACAAATAAAAAAGAGAACATGTTTGTTAGAAAATTCCGGAAAGGATCCGGAAAGAACCATTTTGTATAGTAACTTCTTTTTTCGTATGCTTGTTAGAGGTCCAGCCGTTTTTTTGTGAGTTGTTTTGGCTCCTATACGAAATTCAATTTATCATTTCTCTCTTCCATCCCAATAATAATAGAGTAAGAAGATTGATGGAATAACTTTGATTCTCTTCCAAACTCTCTTGCCTTACTAAATCAGATTCCGCCCACTTTTTACCACAGACTAGTTCATTTGTGTCTGTGTCTCTTCATCTCGCCCACTATTTCCACTCAGAGAAATATGAAATCTCAATTGAGGATCTACCCTCCGCTTCCAGGGGGCAATCATTCTTCTCGCTGGTCTTCTTCTTCTTTTCCTTTTTCAAGAGAAAGATTTGTCCCCCGCTCTCCATCTTTTGACACTGATTCCGTCGGGACATTCCTCTCACATCTTCAGATTTTTGGCACCAAAAATTTCTCTCTTTTTGGAAATTGGGGTCCCCAAAAGATGAATGAATATGCATTTTTTGGGGCTTCTCCGCGACCCAAATTGCAAGTCGCCACGCTCTCTCTTTGTGTGTCCCCTCATTCAACTTTTCCTTTTCATTTTTCTTCTGGAACAATTCATTGGAAGGACCCAACGAAGTTTCTTTTGTTTGTTTGTTTCCTTTTTATTCTTTCTTCGGACCTTTTATAGCAAATAGTCAGGTGACAAGAAAAAACGCTTCCCGGTTTCTTTTCACATTCATTTTAGTACTGAAATCTTTTACTCATAAAATAAAAAAAGATTTCGACCACGGCAGCGCTCGAACCTACAATCCCCAGATTCGAAGTCTGGAGCCTTATCCATTAGGCCACGCGGCCACGTTTCACCCAGTTTCTATTGGTTGTATGCATTCTTGCGGGGGAGCGGAATGGAAGAAAATACCGTATGACTCATAGGTTCAATGTTTGGTGCTTATTGTGAAACTAGGAGTAGGGTTTTTTGGAAAGCGTTTTAGAAAGAAGAAAATAACAATTTTACGATTAGAAACTTCTTCAGCATATTGAAGTGACAGATACTTTAATTTCTGGAAAACCATCACCTCGAAATGCGGAGAAATCCGAACGTATTTTCCCGTTTCACTTAATTCAGAAAAGATTTTTCAAGTTCTAGAGAATTGCTTTTAACATCACAGGTATTTTTTTTGTAAAAAAAACAAAGCTGATCTTTTCGGAATATTCTTAACGGTTTCAGAATAAAAATCTGAATTCCTGCCAAAAATGTATTATGTATTTAGCTCATGGATTGAACGTTTTCTGTTTCTATCTGCTTTTACACTTGTTTGAAACAGCATTCTATCGAAGTGTCAGTTTCCAGTACAAAATAAAAATTGAAATCTCAAAATGTTTTCTGTTTCAAATTGATTGGAAATTCTGAAACTCTCTTCGAGCTAGATAACTCAACGTTCTTCAATTGAAAAAAAAGTAAAAAAATATTCGACCACGGCAGGACTCGAACCTGCAATCCCCAGATTCGAAGTCTGGTGCCTTACACAGGTCCTGGGCGATGATGCGCATAAAGGACCCGATCCATATGCGATCCTCTAGAAGTCCGTTTGACACATATCGCGAACAATGAGCTGCGATGAGTCTCATATGTGTGCGATGCGGGAGAGGGTGAACCGAGAGTTCCGAATGCGCGCGTATCCTAGATGGATACTAGGTGGGTGGGCGATGTGTGCGATATGGGTCTGATACGGTAGGCCGACTACAACACTCCGAAATCCCGGATGCGCGCATTGTTTACCGTAAATCCACACCGGCAACTTTGTCAATTTTTCGTCAAATCGAGCATACATTTCTGATTTTTCGATTTTTCCTTCGATGTTTTTTTTTTGAAAAAGAGTTATGGCAGACTAAAGAATCGCTGAATTCTTGCATAAACATCTTTCACTTCTTTCACTCTTTCACTCGTTCACTCGTTAATTGCTATTGTCGGATTAAAAAAAGTGACACCTAAAAATCTCGGAGACGGCGCTCGTGTCGATTTACGAGGGGGCGGAGCGAAAACGGATACTGTAGATAACAAATTTATTTTTGTGAATTTAGTGGGATTTTGTGAACAAAATTTTGATTTCTTGATATAAAAATGATCGCTAGCATCTCTAGAATCTATTGTTCAGCAAAAAACTAAACTCAAACGCGAAAGTAGCTCGAACGAGCCGAAATTCTGAAACATTACGTTTTTGCCGCATTTTTTCGTAGATCAAAAAAAGAAAAAATTTTCAAATTCTCAGGTGTCACTTTTTTTAATTCTACAATAAGTTTTTCGCCAAAATAGGTGATTTTGAGATTTTTTGATTTCACTGTGTAAAAATCGTAAAAATCGTATTTTCAGGTGGAGTAAAAGGTAAGTTGGTAAGTATGCAATAATTACAAAGTTTAAATTATAAAAAGTTTCAATTTTTCATCCAATTTCAAAAAAAGTGGAAGTGTGACATATTTTGAAATGAAAAAAAAACAATTTTTAGCGATTTTTTCCCATTTTCTTCTGTTTTTGATTCTATTTTTAAAATATGAATTTGCATATCAAATTTAAATGGAAACTGCCATAATTCTTTTTCAAAACAAAAACATTGAGTTTCGAAAAATCAGTAATATGTCGTTCAAAATATAAAAAAATATGGAATAATAAAGGAAAAGTACGAAATCGGAAGACCTGAACAAAATCACATCACAATAGAACTTAACTGATACTTCTAGGAACCCCCAACCAACGTTTTAGTTCATTTCATCGAGTGCCAGCAAACCAGGCGAGGAGATGCTTGGCGGTGTGCCCCATATGCGCCGTATATGCCCCATACCGGCGCCCTTTCCCTGTACCCAATTTATCGGCGCGTCCTCCGTCGCCCATCCATTATGCGTATGCGCGCGCAGGACCTGTGTATCCATTAGGCCACGCGGCCACGTTTCACCTAGTTTCTATTTGTTGTTGGCCATTGAGCGGGAGAACGAGGTTAGAAAATTTCGTGTGACTCATAGGGTAGTTCGCTGGTTAGTGGAAAAACTAGGAGTTCTTTAGTTTTTTGAAAAATTTCTTTCTGTGAAGATCGGGAGAGAAGGATAGTGTATTTTTTTCTGCAGCGGATAAGGTTTTCAAAAGGAACCATAGAAATCCGTGGTTACAGTACTTCCTGCAAACACCATAAATAATAAATGCAGAAAATCTATTTTTTCTATTTTACCTTTTTCGAAGGACATTTTTTTTAATCTAGAGAAAAAACAGAGCCGCTCCTTTTGGAATATTCTAAATGGAATAGAAAATCTGAAACTCTGACGAAATTACACCAGAAAATGTTCCAACACTGTTCACGAATCGGACATTTTATCTTATTATCTGTTATTGTAGATTTTTGAAACAGCATTTTATCAAAAAGTCAGTTTCCAATACAAAATATAAATTGCACCTTTTAAGTAAGGTTGTTAAAACAACTTCTTTCTGTTTCAAATCGTTTGGAAATTCTGAATCTCTCTTCAAGCTAGATACGCTGAAGGATCTTTCTACGTCATTCATTCAAGTTTAAAAAAACATGAAAATAAAGATTTCGACCACGGCAGGTCTCGAACCTGCAATCCCCAGATCCGAAGTCTGGTGCCTTATCCATTAGGCCACGCGGCCACATTAAACCTAGTTGCTATTTGTTGTAGGCAATTTTACGGGGGAACGGGGTTGGCAGACAATATCGTATGACTCATAGGTTGGTGTGGGGGACACAATTTTTTGGAAAAACGTTTTTTAAAGAGAGGAGAAAGGAACAAGTTTACAATCAAATACTTTTTTTGCATTTTGAAGGGCCAGGGTTTTCCGAAGGTACGATATAAGAGAGATCAAATTTCAAAATTTTCACGTTTGAGAGAAAATAATCAAAAAAGAGAAATATGTATTATGAGAATTTACCCATTAAAAACTACGATTACAAAAAAGTTATTTTTAAATGGGAATTTTCTTATTTTCCCCAGAAAATGTAGCGTGAACATTTATTTTCATTAAATCTGGGTTTTCATGAAAAATCCACATTTTTTTTGATTTATATTTTAACGTTTTTATTAAAATTGAAGAATAAAAACACAGAATCGTTCTGCAGGACGATTCGGTGAGAGAAAAATATGACGCGAAAATTAAATCATAAAATCTTTCTACAGAACGGTTCTGCGGAGAACACAGTTTTGAATAGAAAAAAATAATTTCAATTTTTTCTGCATGAGCACAGTATTTTTCAAAAAATTCGTTTTGAACATCCAAACGTGAAAATTTTGAAATTTGATCCCTCTTATATGGAAACTAGTAGTTACTGTAGTTTCTGCAAACACAATCACGTCAAAATGCAGAAAAAACCCCGAATTTTTTTTCCTGTTTCACCTCGTTCAAAAGAGATTTATTTGAATCTAATGAATTGGTTGATGCTTTGAAATGATTGAAAAAAATAGAGCCGCACCTTTTGGAATAACGTAACATTAAATAGTTCAAGAATAAAAGAATCAGAATTCCTGCGTAATTTGAACCGGAAAATGTTTTAACACTGATCACGAAGTGCACACTTTATGTTCACATCTGCTTTTACAAGTGTTTGAAACCGCATACTATCAAAGTTTCAGTTACCAATGCAAAAAAAAATTGCTATCCAAAAATTTTTTTTCTATTTCAAATTGTTTTGAAATCATGACTCTATATTCAAGCTTGATTTGCTCCTACATCTGTTTCAAAACGTTTGTAAAAACCACAACTTTCATTTTCAAGCGGTACACTTATATCAAACTGATAATACTTGTCTGAAACTATTTCTGTTTACCCTTTGTTGTCCAATTTCCCAATAAAAATCAAGCAAAAAGATTTCGACCACGGCAGGACTCGAACCTGCAATCCCCAGATCCGAAGTCTGGTGCCTTATCCATTGGGCCACGCGGCCACATTTGACCCAATTTCCATTTCCCGTATTTGACTCGCTCTCTCGCGCCACTCCGTCTCCTCGCTTCGCCAAATGAAGGCGTGAGCTCTCAGCCAGCCATCTCCATTTTCTCAGTCAACGAGTACTAGAAAATGAGAGAAAAGGAAAAATAAAGAGAGAGAGAGAGAGAGATGGAGCCAGCTGCATTTGTGTGTTTTTTTTGCATACGTTATGAGTCTAATTTAGTGAAGAAGGGAAAAATTTCAAAAAAAATTTGAAGAACAGAAAAATGGGAAAATAATGGAATATTGAGGACGAAGGAAAAAAAAGTGAAACATTTTTCGTCAAAGCGAAAATAATTGTTGGTAGCCGCGGCCAGAGGTCCAGAACGAAAACTACAGAACGAAAATAACAGGGAAAAAATCTGGTCACAGTAATTTTCATTTTTGGACCTTCGGCCACGACCACCAGCGTTTCTCTTCCACCGCTCCTATAGCCATAAACCAGTATAATATCGTGATGATGTATCGACAGATTTTGCAAACTTGTATCTTCGTTTATTAGCTTTTGTTAACTCTCAGAGATACCGTCGATTCTATCAAAGTTATGAAATTTATTAAAGGTGGGGGGACAGGAGATTTTACGGGGGATTTTTGGGGCCAGAGTATGCATTCTACCGTAACGGTGTACAACGCTTAATGTCACTCTGCGTACAGCAGTCGCCCTCGCCTTTATGTATGCAATCGGGCAGCGGCTTTCTCTTTGCACGCGTAGCTCAGTCGGTAGCGGCGCCGCACCTTCAACACTCGCCTCGACAAGTTCAACTCCTCGAGGAGCATATTTAAACGAAATTTCGACAACATTATTTTTCTCATGTCCCCCCACCTTTAATGTTCTGTTGCTAACAACGAAGTTTGAAAACTTTGGAAATATCCTGCAAGTTTAAAAGTTCTGTTTGCACCAATTGTGAATGTTTTTTTGTTGTTATCATGTTTCAAAAAGTTTCTTATAGTTAGTTCGAAAAAATTAAATGAAATTGTTGATCTGTTCGTGTTCTGTTTGACCTGAAACTCTACTATAAAATAAGCCTATCAACTTCTCGAAAACGATAACAAAAACCGATCGAAAACATGAATTCAATTCTTCACCAGTTTCATTTGTTGAAAAAATTATTTTTATGTTTCAGAATATTTATTAGTTCATAAAGATTGAATGAAGTTGCTCTTTCCTTCATGTATATTGTTAACCTAAAAAACTCACTATTCTAAAAGAATCCTATCAGATTCTCGAAAACGGAACCTAATAAACCCATCACTTCTTCATTCCCCGTTATCCCCTATACTCCTCCTGTTCCCCTTTTTTTATTTCCGACTCAACCCAATTCGTACTTCCTTCCTTTTTCATCCCACAAAACCTAAAACTTCAGCTCACCCCGCCCATTTGATCTTCATTTGTCTCCATCCATGGTATATGTCCTTCTTCCCACTTCTTCTCCTTCTTTTCCCTCAATTCAACCCATCTGCCACGTCATCACCGTCGCTGTTCCCGTGTCCGGCGAGATGTCAATGCTATTCGGATAACGAGCAGAACCAACAGGTTCACCTCATTTGCAAGTGGGAACAGGTAATTGCATATACAAGAGAGAAAGGGGACAGTAGCCTACTGTCAGTGGGTTAGCCGTGCAATTATCAATTAGGTGTCGCGTGGGTGGATATGACGTGTGTATAACAGAACATACAAATATTTACATGTTATGTAAAAAGAGAAGAGGGACAAACTGCGATAAAATGTCGTATCAGTAAAGTTAATAATTATGACTAAAGTTGTGATTTAACTGAAACAGTGAACTTGGAAACAAAAAGTCTAATATGAAATAGATTCTGGTGATAATATATCCCGCTTCCTGTGAAAGATATCAAAAAGTGGTCAGCTAACAAAATGTTTATCATGATATAAGAAATATTTTGTCAGTTGGTGTTATTTTGATATCTTTTACAGGAAATGAGATAATTGGGGTTAAAGTTGGCAGTGCTGGGGCCATTCTATTCCAGGTTTCTCGGTAAATGGTATCAAAGATTACGGTTTAATATGCCTTATTTCATCTATCTGAATTTTCAAAGTTTTCGAAAATACTAGAGATTTTTTAAAATTGTTTTAGGATTTTGAATTTTTTCCCGTTACTGAAACTACTGAAACTACTGCACACAGTTAGCAAAAATAGTTTTGCGACGTTACTGAAAACAATAAACACCTTTATTCTAGCCGATAGGGACTTGTAAGTTTTTTTTTACTTTTTTGGTGAGAGATAGTCAAGATTGAAGTCCTGAAAAGTTGTTCAGAGGTTTTTCGTTTTTCTGAAATTTCAGATTTTTGGCATTTACGGCATTTTAAATGTTACAAACGGCATATGCCATCAGAATGTAATTTGGCAAAAAAGTTGTCAATTACAAAAATGAAGTTTTAACTTTGTACTCTAAAATTTTCCGAGAAATGGAAAAACTTTGGAATCTTCTTTAAAGATTTCAACTTTAACTACTTTCTACTAAAAAGCCAGTACTGATATATAGATTTCTGGTACTGTATATTTAAATATTTTAATCTTCCAGGTGTTTTATTAACTTCAAACCTCGGGACACAGACTGAAACAAACCCACTGTTAAATCAAAAAAGTCTTATTTGAAAATTACTGTTTAGAAATACCCATAATCCACAATTTTTAGGAAATTTCGTCATTGTCTGTAGGCTGTTGTTAAAGGTGGTGTGCGGTGAAATTTATTATTGCTGTATTTTGTGCAGAAATCTATGTAGATTCCCATAAAAATAAAGAAAAACTTCAAAAAATTCCTAAAATGCGAAAAACCGCGTCGAAAAAGCGACGATGTATCCGGGGCCAAGCGGCC